GAATACTGCGGTCCTTACACATAAATGTTTACAATGAAGTATACAAAAGAGAAAGTATTATAACTTTTCTTTTTTTTCCTTTTGTTTCTAATTTCTTTCAAATTTATAGACAATTGAGTTAAAAAAAAAACAACATATTTTATATACATCCATAAAAATATTAAATATATTTTTAATTTGTATAAAATTATCAAGATACAATTATGTATATATATATATATATATATATAATGTTTTAATTTCAACTTAATTTTAAAAAATATGTATTACATACAAACTTTTAAATTATATGTAATCAATACATAAATGAAATAAATATAAAAAATTTAATAAAAAATTAATTTTAACAATAAAAAAATTGTTTGAAAAATTCAGTAGAAAAAAGTTTAGATACAGTTATTAATTTTTAATTATTTATTCAATCAACCTAAATTAGAAAATTGATATTAAAATTTAAAAATTTATCATTATTTAAGTAAATGAATGCTTATTTAAAATGGAAGTTATATAAACTTAAAAATATTGATATATTATTGCATTTAATTTTAGCATTTTAAAAATTTTATACAGGGATTTTTCAAAAATATTATTTTAAATTTTATTATATCTATCATTTATTATATTAATAATATATATTAATAAAAATATATAGATATTATAAAAAAAATTAACTAAGCACACAAAATGAAATTATAAAAGCAAAATTATTTATTAATTTTATAAAATAAAAAAAAATATTAAATATTAAATAATACAAAATAAGCTATGTTATATAAAAAAATTCAAAAATATCTTTTATATATCGAGCAATAATAATAATATTACCTTTAAAATTTAGAAATATTTCAAAAATAAAGTTATTTTGAAAAAGTTAAGAACAAAATGAGAACAATATAATAAATGTAGAGAATAATGAAAGTATAATAAGGTGTTATCCGCATTATTTAAAAATTAAATACAAACATTTTATTTATAATATTTAAGTGATTTTTTTAATATATAAAAAATTAGTATTAAGCTTAAATATAGTTTTAATCTCTGCAAATGTAACATATTTTTATGATAAATTTGTATAAGATTTTTTGTTATAATTTATTTTTTGGAATGTTAAGATTCAATTTTTATCGTCAACTTCTCTTTTGTTAAATATAATTAAGGGAGGGTCAACTCAATACTTACATGTCCCTATCATTTTTTAAATATTTAATATTTTAGGTGTAATTATGTTTGTTTATCCATATAAATATAGCTCATTTTTTGTTAAATTTAATTTCGATTAAAAAGTTAGGATTTAGTTTTTGTTCTCAACTTTCCTTTTATTGAGTGTTCATTTACTTATCTCATATATTGTCACATCATTTAATTTTTAACATTTTATTATTTAAAATTTATATTTGCAAACAATTTCATAAATATATTTTAAATATTTATAAAAAAACTTCTCAAAATCTTAATTTTTTCCCTTTTAAGCGACAAGTTCAAGAACCCACATCTTGTTGATAATTCTAATTTTGATGTCTGAAAAGCAATTGAAACTCAAAAAAAAAAAGAAAAAGACAAAGAAGAAAGCACTGAAAGAGAAAGAGATTAAAATTGTATAGTATTTTTTTAAAATATTTAAAATATATTTAAAACTTATTTATAAATATTAATTTTAAATAATAAAATATTAAATTATTAAATGAAGTGACAATATGTGATAATGATAAATTGACTTTTCATGAAACAACTTAATATTAAATAGAAGGAGAATCTTAGACGGAAACTAATTATTAACTTCTTAATATTTTAAAGAGTAAATTCTAACAAAAAAAAATAATTATAAAAATCTATCAGAAAATGTTGAACAAAAATATAATTAAACTTAAAATATTTAAAAAATTAAATGATGCAGAATTAATTTTCTATCAACTAACTCAACACTTAATGAAAGAAAAGTTTTAATTTATGAGAACTAAATCTTAATAACAAATTTTATGAAGATTTATTATAAAATGTACTTACATTTATACAAACTAAAATTATATTTAAGCTTTAATATTAATATCAATTTTTAACACATATAAATGAGTAAGAGACGTAAATCTACATCGCATAACCGTATACAAATGTAACTTAATTATAAAATTTTAAAAGTTGCATGATTATTTTTAAAAAATTATACAATATTTTAAAAAAATTCACATAAATTATATATGTTTTAACAATACATATACAAAATTTGGGGCGAGAGAAAGCATGTGGCAAACGAACGGCTCAAATTTCATGAAGAGTGACGATATACATAGTGTGGCTGATGGGAGAGGTAAAAATGAGGATGTGTGGGCATGGCAATTCAATCAATACAATTAAAAGTAAGTAATAAAAGATAAATCATTCAGAAGTCCATTGTCCAAATGAAGACCATTTCGTGGATTCTGTGATAAAAGATCAAATTGGAACAGCCTGGGAATTCTTCCCTTGAAAAAAAATCTCAAAGGTAACAAAATTTAGATCTTCGTTTAAAATTGAAATTGAAATTTTAGTTTTTTTTATTTGTATTAAAATTTTAAATTCAAAATTTAAATTTAAACTTTAATTAGTTTAAAAGAAAATTTTAAATTTAAACTTTAATATTAAGATGTATCAATGGACACATGTCAGTTTTTATTTGTGACCCAAAAAGTAGAGGAACATAGTACCAAAAGTGAATATATAACGTATGTGTTGATCAAAATCAATAGTCAAAACACACACATCATAAGGTGACATGTGTTGTCTATTTTGTTTTTTTTTCCACATCTTTAAGATGCTTTTGAATTCTTTTTTATTTTGATAATTATTTTTTAAATAATATTATTTTAATAAGTAATTTTTAAAATTCTATTATTGTTTTGGGAAGGTCACAGTTCACCCATTCTTGTGATTTTCAATATATCTCACTTTTAATTTCTTAAATTTTAGGACCCTGTGAGAAAGGTGTACAATTACTTCATAAGTCTTGCTAACTTACTCCATTTAATAATATTTTGTAGATGATGAATTTTATTAGTGTGAACATTGAATTATGTAATTTTATCTTTATGATTATGCATGTCAAAATTTTAGATAATCAACCAATCATAAATATGTAATCTTATAACCATTTTTTTTTAATATTTTGAAAAGTATATTGTATGTTAGATGAAGTTCTTTGATGAAGCATTGACTAATATTTTAATTTTAATTATAAGATTTTGTAAGCTTGATCTACTTATTAAATTTTTTTTAATCCATGGTTGTATTAATAAAATCATTCATTAGAAAAAAGTGTGTAACAAATCAATACTCTTAATATCTATAGAAAAAAAAATACTAGTATTAAAATCATGTGTAACATAGTTACTTCTTTCAAGCTGTTTCTTTTCTCTTTTTTAATTAATATGAACGAGATATTGTGAAAGAGACTATTTTTTAAAATGAAAATTTACTAAAATTTGAGGCCTTAATACAATTTAGGTAAAAAAATAAAAAAAATATTTTTATGATCAATTAAAAAAATGGAAAACGGAATTATGAAATACAGGTAAATAATGTTAGGATGGGTTGGGGCCAGCCGTGGTTCATCTATCCATCTGAGAGGAAAGGACCCCAAAAATTTTCAAATGAAGTCCCACGGAAATTTTCCTTTTATATTTTATTGAATTTGAAAATAGTTTATAAACGCAAATAAAAATAAGCACTTACTTACACTGAATAATGTTGGCGTTGCCTCTTCGATATGTAATATTCTCCAATGCCACGTAATCAGCAGCTATCAACGTTACGTTTAGTCATTTGACCCTACCATCTATAGTTCAATTTAATAAGCCCATTCTTTTCGTCACACTTCACACACTCTCCTTCATACTTTTGATTCCCATTCAGAATTCCTCACTTGCACACTCGTTTCTTATCATCTCAAATTGTAAGTATGAGATTCTAATATATTTTTTGAGCTAGTATGGTTTAAGATGAAGAATATATATACCTTTTCCTCTCTCTTTTTTTAAGTGTGTTTGTTATGGATGTGTTTTCTAGATAATCTAACTTGCACTGAAATTTTAGGTTACGACTATGGATGATGGAGGAATGCGCGATAATCAGATGGAAGTAGATAATCCCGATTTGATTTACAAGGTAAATTGAATTTTGTTATTCAGAAACCTACATTCAATGTTCTATGTTTGCGGATGCATTCCCTCTACCTAGCAATTATGGTTACTAAATTCCTAAAATTAAGTGATTTAGTTGTTCAACAAGCACAAACCAAAATTTGAATTTAGCTCATCCCCTTTTTCCCCTTTAACGCTTATTGCTCATAGCTATGGCCACCACTCATTCTTCATATGTGACATTCCTTTATTCTCTTGTTACACAAAAGGGTTTTTTTTTTTTTTTTTCTTTCAAGGAAATATTAACAAAATTTAGGCAATTTTTTAAAAATTTTAATTTACTATTTTTCAATCAAAATTAGAATATTATTTAATAAAATAGCCGCATTTAAAATTATTTCGAGTCGTTGAGATAGAAATTTTTTAAATTTAATTTAAACCAATACCAAAATTGCCTAAATTTTTTACATAATTTTTTTCTCCTTGTAGATACCACTGACTAGCCTTTAGTTTATTGTTTTGGTTGGATCAAGGTTGTAAAATGTGAGCTATCTGGATAGGCTTAACCGGGACAATTTTTGTTTGTCAAACATGACCGTAAAAGTTGGTTTATTTTTCACTTTACGGGATTGTCAAATGCCAATCCAGTCTTGCAGTTATATATTGCATTATCTTGAGTTCATTTGAATATTGTGTTTAAACCAATGTACTAATTTGATTTTCTTTGCTTTTTCGGGGGATCTCATTTATCATTCTCAGAATGATACCTCACAAAATAACAATGGCAGTGGATCCCCGGCATTTTCTTCTGATGATCTGTCTGCAAATGCCAATGCTGCTGTATCAGATTCTAGTTCAAGAAACGTAATCATGAGTAGTGGAATGAACATGCAACGAGCAAGTGACCTTCTTTTTGGATTCTCAATATATGCTGAGCCAACTAAGGGTAAAATAATTGAGAAAGCATTTTCAGCTATGGATGAGTTGTCAAAGCTAGGTGTTGCAGGGCAACCTTTGTGGCAGCCCCAAACAAACGATAGATTTGACACTTTAAATCATATTGAATATTTGAGGCAATTTGGTCAGGCTGATACAACACTAAGAGAGATTGTTAAGCTGATTGAGATTGGAGAGCCTCAAATTGAATTGCCAAGCTTTGACTTGTATCAAACTGACCATCCAACATCCAAGGCAACTCCGAGAGCAGCTCTACAAATTGAAGCTTCACGAGATATGGCCACTATTAACATGAGTCCAACCAACATTGTTGAATTACTTATGGATATGGTAGGTCAAATTATTATTGTTATTATTATTTTCGATGTCTTAAATTGCGGTTACAGTCGCACTTGCAATTTGTTAAATGATGGGTAAATGCAGTTTAGGGTAAGAGAAATTTTTCTTTTTTTTTTCTATCACACTTTTTTTACTTTCTCTCTCTTCCTCCGCCCATTTCACATATCATTTTAATTAGGAGTTTTAAGAGAACATTTTCCTTTCATGTAACCATGATTTCTCTCACTGAGTTTTTGGGATGTTTTTGTTGTTGGTTCTTAACTAGAATCAATGGTGGAGTGCTTTTTACAATATTGTCTCAAAAGCAAAAATCCTGGGAACCATGTTTGATGGAATGGAAGGAGGCTATGACGGAAAATTGCACGTGGTAAGTTCAGTATGTTATCCGTTCTTTAAATACTATGTTGTATGAGTTTTTAACTAGTATCTTAGGCTTTATATGGGAGTTTGGAAAGAGAGAATGAAGAAGGAATTGAAGGGAGAAAGAAAAGAAGAGAAGGAAGAGAGAAGGTTAAACTCCTTTTTTACTTAAATGTTTAATATTGAAAAAAGAGTGTGATAGAAGAGTTTAATTATATAAATAATTTTAAAATTAATATTTTTATTTTTTTAAAAATTTATCACTTGAAAAAATAACTTTTTTTTAAAAAAAAGTTAAAATTTTATTTGTAAAATAATATAAAAAAATGGAATAGCGAAAACTTTAAAATGTGAGAACTCAAAAAATAAGCTGAAGATTTAAAAAAACTCTCAAAACTTTTTTAATTAAGCAACTTTCAAATAAAATTAAATTTCTTCTAATCTCTTCTCTCATAAATTTTACTCCCAAACATAGTTTTAGCCGTCATATTCATAAATTTAAATTAAATTTTTACTGTATAAGATGATTAAGTATATGTTGAAATAATTCATTTTCAGAATCTATTTGAATTTGTAAAGATTGCAACTTTAGTTGAAAATAATTATGAATAAAATTAACTTCTTGTAAATAAATTTCTTCAAGATGATTTTTTATTTGTTAGAGTATTTTTGTGTCGTTTTAGAAAGTATTTCAAACATTTCTAATAAATGTTATTATGCAAAGTGGAATCCATTATCACTCTCTAAGCACATCAATATTTTTGTGATGACCTAAATTATCACTATTTGACTTTCAAACCACAGTGTAAATCATTATGTTACTAATCTTGTTTTATTATCAACAATATTTCAACCATCATTATTATCACTTTTCATGAATTTAGAATTATTACTAATTCTTTATCATTGTATCTAAAATGAAATTCATAGCCATTATAGTCTTTCATTATGTCAAAATGTAATCATAGTCTTCTTGCTCCTAATTGTGAATTGAGCAATAACTCACCCTTATATCGTTATTTCAAAATTAAAAAATATTATAATCATTTTTAAAATTTTATTTTATAAGATCAGTTGATATATAATTACTTTTTGAAGTAACTTTAGATAATAGTTATATATAAAATTGTTTTACAAATAAATGCTAGAGAGAATCCTATTACTTTATAATTGATAGATAAATTTAAACCTGCTTAGTGCCTATAAAGAAGAATAAAAAAACTACAAGCAAAATTTTGACAGAGTAAGGTCATGTAAAAATAAAACGTGAAAATTCAGTCTCCTTATCATGTACAATGAGTTGTATCGTTTTTCATTTTGAAAATGGGCTGTGGATACTTTCAATCCATGGTTTTTTTAAGTTTGTAAATGACGGATGCTTTTTAGGTATTACTTTTGTGCTGTAACTTCTGATAAAATAAAAATAAGTTAGAAAAAAAAAATTGTGATGTCATGCCACCGGGCATAAAAGAATATTATATTTTTACATCTACTTTCACATTTACTGTACACTCATTGTAATATATCTTTTCATTATTTTCTCTCTCTATTATTGCGACACTGTGTAAAAGAATAGAGAAACTGATGAAGAGAAATATTTTCAGTTATAAAAAAGCTTTTTCTTTATATATTTCATCGTTAGGTGCAGTACAGGGTCCTGCTCGAGTACCTATACGTAGGATATATATCATATAATAAATCTTGTTTCATTGTTTCGTTTCTGTTATGTATTTGTTAAGTTCTTCTGTTTCGTACATATTTTATATGGAATTCTCAATTTATGTTCTATAAGCTACATGCATCCGGTATTACCATTTTTCAGACAATTTCAGCAACATGTTTCTGTAAACGAATAAAGAATATACATAGCTTGTCATTAGAATTTCAAAATTAATGTGACTGTTCTCATTTCATTGTATATATATTCTTTCCTTATCATAGATGAGCGCTGAACTTCATTTGCCTACTGCTGTTATACCGACGAGGGAGTGTTATTTTGGAAGGTACTGCAAGCAATTGTCTCATGACAAGTGGGGGATCGTTGATGTTTCATTGGAGAAGTTTTTTCCTTCTCCAACAAGTAATTTTCTGAAGAGACCATCTGGTTGTTTGATTACAGCAATGCCTAATGGATGCTCTGAGGTTGTTTTGTTGTATATGGTGTTAAATTGATTGCATGAAGTTAATTTTTGTTCTTCATATATATATATATACAGGCTGTGTAGTTCTGATTTGCTTAACATTCTTATCTTAATTAGGTTATATGGGTGGAGCATGTGGAAGCAGACCATAGCCAATTGGATGATCGTTTTAAGCAGCTAGTCACTTCTGGTTTGGCTTTTGGTGCAACGCGTTGGCTTGCTTCTTTAGTTCGGTACAGTGAATGGCGTCAAGTTCTGAATGCATCAGCATTTATAGCAGATGATGGAGGTAAATCTACTGCACTTTCTTCGAAATCATCTATAAAACAAGCTTTTTAAGTAGCGAAATTTTAACAAGAAAGGCTGATTTGATTTTTTAAAAGCGAGACATGTAAAATAGAAAGTAAATTATATTTATTATTAAGTTTATTTCAAATAGTTCATATTAATTAAAACTTATATCTATTTATATATTTTCTTACTTTATACGCCCTTCTTCTTTAAAGAAACTAAATTTGAAGATACGAGACAATGACCATTTATACAGCAGTTAAAGCTTTTAAAATAGTTTATTTGTTTATTCATTGTTTGTTTTATGCTTGGGTGCTTTAATAATTATATAACCTTGTTCCTTTTGATACGAACAGTTCATATACCTCAAACTGGGAGGACAAGTTTCTTGAAACTGGCGGATAGAATGATGAGAAGCTTTTGTGCTAATATCAGTGCTAGCCCAAGCAATCCATGGATGCAAATAGCTACTTTTCCAGGTTCCACAGACGTGAGAGTCATGATTATGAATGATGCGGCAGATCCTGAGAAGTCTCTTGGTACAACGGTGGTTTTCACTACTACTCTTTGGCTGCAAGTCTCCCCTGATCGATTATTCAACTACCTTCGTCACGTGAATTCCAGATCCAAGGTATGCACCTTATCTTAACTAGGTATGAATATTGATATGGTAATTTGTGGAATGGGATGGATGCATGTTCCCTTTTTTGGTCTTTTGGGTACCTTGTGGGAGGAGACATTAGTTGTGCAACATTTAATGCTAGAGTTCGAAAAAAAAATGAATACTTAATTAAGCACCCAGTTCATAAGTAATTAACTTCTTTTAAGATAATTATAATTTAATAGCTCATACATGTAATATACCATTTTTCTGCTATACTGCAAGTGGTAGATTTATTTTTCTGGTAAACAGTGTAAATGTTCCATTAGGATCACTTAATTTTAAAACCGATCATGCTAGATTGGTTAAAAAATAACCAAGAAAAGTTTCGTGTCATTTAATGGATCAAGCATGTTTGTGATTTTGAATGCTGATTCTGTTTCTTTTTCAACATGACCAATTAATTATGATGGAACGAGTTAAGCTCGATGTAGTGCCATATATGTTCTTACATCTTACGTTCTTTTCTTTTCTTGAATAATTATAGTGGGATGTGCTTTCACGTAGACTTTGTATTCGAGAATTCGCGGCAATTATTAAGGGCGAAAATTCCAGAAATCGTGTTTCCTTGATGAGTGCAAATGTAAGCATCTTTTTTCAGCAATACTCTTTTTTGAGGGTGTTTGATTTTATATTTAAATAATCATAAAATTATGTTTATTTCAATGTTATCCGTTATAATGTGTCAAATTTATGTTTATATATTTTTTAACATGTTTCTAAACACATCCTTACTTTTCTTTAAAATGAATCTAAAATCCTAAATTAACTTGGCTTATTTTCCATATTCTTAGACTACAAAGGGCAAGATTGAAATTTTTTATCTGCAAGAGAGTTGCACAAACTCAACAGGTTCCTACGTGATTTATGCTCCACTAGATGAGTTAACTCTATCCGCTCTTGCAAGTGGATGCGACCCTGGGAAAGTGGTTATCTTGCCATCAGGGTTTTCTATCCTTCCTGGAGGGCTAGAAGGAGGCACTGGAAGTTTCCTAACTATTGCATTCAACATAGTTGAAAATGCCATTAATAGGGCTTTTATCCCTCCTGAATCAATTGAAACCATCTATAAAGTTATTACAGATACTGTTACCTCCATAAAAGATGGGGTGCGGTACCATAATCTACACAACAATTGGATGGATGATTGAAATTTCCATATTTAAAGGGTTATTGGCTTCAGTCTTGGATATGTGCAAAATACAATGTAGGGCGTATAGACTACATTGTATTTCATGTTTCCGTGTAGAAGAACCGGTAGAATATGTATTTTAGACAGTGGAAGTTGGTTTACTTCTTGTCACTGTGACAACTGTTTATTGTGTTCTTTGTATTTGTTTAAAATATGAAATGAAATTGGATCATGTTGATTTTTCTTTTTTTCTTTTTTTTTTTCTATTTAGTATTGATACCTTGATGAATCATTTAATTAGATTATGAATTGTTGTTGACAAAAATTTAGCAACATTATTAGCAAACTATGAAAGCATAACAGGCTTCCTGCAATGTATCGAGACGGGTTGGTTAAATATCTTCGTTGGGGCTTTGCTGGGGATCCGATCAAGGTGGATTGTGTTAATGGGAGAAGTAGGGAATATGGATTATTGATCGCCTCGTGGATTACATTGGCTCCATAGACATTTAGAATATGCTTATCCCTGGTGGTAACAATCATTCTACTTCCCAGGAAAAGCAATTTAGGATTTATGGCCAATTCTTGCAATTGCTCTAATTGGTCAACATTGTCAAGAACTATAAGAACTTTTATGTTATGAAGCCTGTATTTTACCATTCCTGATATTTCACTAGGGCTAATTTCTAAATTTTTCTCATCTAATGTTTGACGAAGAATTTGTTTTTGTATAGCAACAATTCCACCATCCTTATAAATTTTGCTCACATTCTCAATGAAACAGCAAGCATCAAACTTATAAGAGATTTTATCATATAGAACAGTAACATGAGTTGTCTTCCCTATTCCACCCATTCCCCAAATTCCTAGAACTCGAATATCGTCCTTCTCTGAGCTTAACTTTAAAATGCTTTCTAATGTTTGTACACGCGGTTGCATGCCAATAAGGTCATCAGCAAATCCTGAGAATTTATGACCCAATATTTTTATTACCGCTTGAACAATTTTTTCAATCTCTTCGAACTCTGGCCTGGAAAAATAAACCAAGTACAATAAAACCCACTATAAGATAAACATTTTCATAGATAAATTAATAAAATTAGGACATTATGTTAAAAATTCTATTATTGTTTTATTACAAATCTCATTAATTCACATAAAATAGATTTATTTGACACATGTTGTAACATAAACAAACCCATTCTATGCTATATCATCTACCCAAGAAAAGAAGTATATTTTCAACACGAAAAGCTTAATTGAACGTAGAAAATGGTAGGAACGTAAGACAGCAAACGTGTATCCAGGCTGCCTGATAGGTAAAATGTAATGACCATCTGATGCATTGGGTGCAGTGCGTTGTCCATTCTCTAACAGAGTCGTCCCATTTGGGGCACACCTTTCAATTTTGTTGACATTTGGGATTGGCCAAGTAAATGTTATCCTTTAATAAAGTTTATTATTAAAGTTATATATATATATATATATATATTATCCTTTAAAAATAATAAATATTAACGACAAAAATAATCAGTTAATAATAGTAAAAATTTATTAAAAAAATATTTATTATATTTTTATAACTTTAATATAATAATTGTGTATATTTTTATAAAAAAATTTATTTATAAATACTTAAACTCAGCTTTTAACAAAATTTAAAAATAATTTATTGAATAAGCGTGTAATGAAATACTATGGTGAGAAACCTGAAATAACTGAGAGAACAGAAAATACCATTAAAGCTCCTTAGTTTTTTACATGCAAGAAAAAGTCCAGCTTTATATCTAGCTTCCTGTATCTAATCACAACTTCCTAATTATCTCCAACAATTTTTTGAGTTTAGGGTTATTTTCTTCACGTTATTTATAATACCTCAATAAAAGGGAAGCTAACTATTTTGCATATTAGTAGAACGGTTAAATGGACCAGTTTTAATTGATTTAGTTCAAATTGTCATGATTTAAGGTTAAAAAGCCTGTATTACAAAAAGTTTATTAAATTAAAAAGTTCACAAAATTAAATGAGTTAGACTCACTCATGGAATAATTATTTTTTAAAATTTTAACTCACTTTTTTTTTTATAGAATTACTGTATGTTATCTTTTAAAGTAATTTATTAAAAATATTTATTTTATGTAATATTTTTATTATAAATTTATAGACCAATAAAATTACTTAACAAAAAAATTAAAAAATTTAAATTTGTATAATATTAAATATTTATAATAATTATTGTTATTAAATAACATTAATAAAAATATAATTATTTATTATTAAATTATTTTATAAAATTTTTAATTTTATTTATATTATTAATAATTATTAAATAATTGTAATAATTTTATTTTTTAAATATTATTTAAGTACAAACTATAAAATTTTTATATTATTAAAAATAATAAAAAATTTAATTTTCTTTTTTCTTAGAAATATTTTATTTATATAAAAACATCTTATGTTAAATAAATAAAGTCATATTAAATACGTAAAGTTGAAAATAAAAAGAAGTGTGATATATATTTTTTTTAGGTGTAAAATAAAGAAAATAAGTAAACGTAAAATTGTTAGATAGTTTTATAAAAATAAAAGAAATAAATTACATATTACATAAATGTCTACTAAAATTAACTTTTATGCAAAACAAAATCATTCAAAGTTTTGCATGTAAGAAGCTTTAATGATTCGAACTTATAGTAGGTCTTTAACAATTATTATAGTTGATTTTATTGCAATGTAAGATTCGAACTTATGATTGAGTTAAAGTGAAATAATCTCTTACCAAATGAGATTATTTTAAGTGAGTTTGGGTGGAGAATCATATTTTTAGTTTTTTTAGTTAAATTTGCCTACAAGTAGACTATGTTACGATTTTTTACAGTAGAAATATTACCTTCTATCTCCCTATATCTCTTAGCAAAAGTGTGGAAGTCTTCGGCACCTAATAAGGTTATGGTATTTAGTTAACAAGTTATTTTGAACTGTTTTTTTTTAAAGAAAAATTTAATTCAAAGAGATTTTAGGGATAAATTGGACAAGGAATATTGTGTATTTTGAAGTCATGACATAAAGACCTTCATCACCTCTTTTTCTCATGTCCATTTGCGATTCATGTGTGACAATAACTATACTTTTAGTTTCACTTGCCACCTCCGTCAACTTATTTTTTAAATGTACAAGCACTTGATTTTTCTACATGTAACTTTGTGTAATAAAATGTGAAAAAACTATTTTTGTGGTATGAATGATGGCATCATGGAGTATTTTGAAGTATATGAATGCAATCATTTTTTCACAAGCTAGTGTGGATCCAAATTTGGTGGTGGAGAACTTTAAACACAAAACATGGCTCACAATTACAACACTCTTCAACAAGTTATTTCTCCTATAATGTATGGTACTTAAAACCATTAGAAAGCCTCAAATTGATATTTTCCCAAAAATTATTACATGGATGCTTTGTAATGAGTTTATGTTTATTTTATGATTTTTAGTAATTTGTAATCCTCATAATTGCTCCTATTATAATTTTGAGATGAATACCCTTTATACCTAACATCAATAGAATTTTTTGTGCTTAACAAAAAAAAAAAGAATAATTATCCGTGTGCTAAATTAAAAAAATTTAATTTATTTTAAACCTTATTTATATATTATTAAATTAAATTGATTTTAAATTAAGTTCTAATAAATATAGCTGTATTAAATATTCAAACACATTAATTTGTATTGAAATATACTATAATTGACTTTTATTAAACTAAAATCTATTATAACAAATTAGTATGTGATATATTCAAATTATATTATATTAACAGTAAAATTTAGTATTTTAATTAAGACTAAAATTAATAAAACAGAAAATATATTTATGAATGAAATAAAATATACAATATTTATAAATAAAATTATTTGAGTATTGAAAAAAATTAATATTTTTAAAAGTTAATTAAAATAATAATTTTAAAAAATATACTATAATTATTTTCTGTTTTATTATTAAATTATAATGCAATAATTTAAAAGTTAATCATAATTGACTTTTTATAAAAATCGTCAACTTTTATTTTATTAAAATCAGAACATTTATATAAATATATTTAATTTGGAAAATATGCCTAATATATAATTTATTCTTTTATTTTTGTAAAAGTTCCAAAATTGCTACATAATGTATAGTAAAAAAACTTTATATGAAATAAAAATAAGAGAATGTGTATGTATAAAAATAAGCCAACATTATATCAAAAAAAGAAATAAGCAAAGATTTTTAGATGAATCTTTTTAATTTTTTAACTAAGAATTAAAATTTTATAAAATATGAACCTTTAAATTGAACGTTATCTTGATCTATTTCGTAAGAAATAGCAGTGTTTCGACTGGCGTTTAAAAAATAAATAAATTATATGTTTATGCCACTTATTTTTACATTTATTTTTTATTCCATGATTTATTATATCATTTTTTTCCTTATCTGTTTTTCTACACCATTTTAACCGTCAACTATTGAATGTGAACAATATAATTTTTCAATTGTAAAAACTTTGATTTTACGTTTTGGTACTGTGCAGTTGTTTGCCATCTGCTTTGGAATTTTATTTGAGGTGATTCGATGCTAATGGTGCGGTGGATGGCTTATATTTCTTGGTACAAATATTTTAGGATCAAAATCTTTTACCCTCAAAATTTCTGCATTCATAACTTAATGGTTGATTTTTTCCTTTTTATATTTTATTAATTTTTAAAAATATATATAAAATAAATAATATATGTTTATCTCTTTTTTTGTCATTTTAAAGTAAAAAAAATGGACTAAAAAATATTTAGTTAAAATTTATGTTTATCTTACTTTAAAAAGAGAACTACAAAAATTTATAAACAACAATTTTTTACATATTTGAATAAAAACTCTTAATTTCTTATATCTAATTATTTAAAATATTTCTTAACACTTTCTTTTATAATTAATTTGAATAAAAGATAACATGGAAAAGGCCATCAACATGTGGAACATTGATAGAGTAAAGGGTAATGAGATGTGGGCAGAGGTTGAATTGCTCTAACTTGGACTGTGTTCTTTTGGGGATGAAGAAAGAGATTTTGTGTCCTCTTTTGCAAATTTGTTGGAGAGGTGAAGAAATGGGATTAAGTGTCCTCTCACTCTTTAAATATATCAAAGCTAAAAACAAAGAAATATATTATTCTTTTAAAATAAAATTTACAATAATTTTTTTCAGCCACATTACATGTTTTATTTTTTCTTGTCGACTATAATTTATGAAATCACAAGTGTCTAAATTTATATATTATAAAATTTCATTGATAATTATAAAACATTACAAAATTTAATTTATTAATAATACTAAATATTATATTAAGAATACAATAAAACTAAATTCTAATATATATTTGTATATAAACTTGTTATATATCACATAATTTAATATTAATAATTTTTTAAAGTGTATTAAAAATAATTATTAAGTTAAAAGTTTAAATGTTTTATTAAAAATAAAAAATATTTAATATCTAAAAATCATAAAAATATTTAATTTATATTTTTATGATTTATCTTATATGGTTTTTAAATTATATAATTAAAGTTAATAATTACTTAAACGAAAAGAAACAAGAAATAGCATGTTATTATAAAACTTACATAAAATATAATAAGATGAAATTTAAAAAACTTGAAAAATTATTTATAATTCGGCGATGCTCTGAGAAATAACCATTATTCAGTGGTTTGTTGCAGCGCGTTGCACGTGCTCCAACTTTAAATTTAATGATAAAATTTGTGAATTTAAAAATAATTTATTTTAATAAGTTATGCCAACAAATTTATTAGAATAAATTAAAAATAATTTATAAAAGTTATAAATTATTTTATATAAATTTTTTATAAACTCTTCTTAACAAACTTAAAAAAAATTTAAATAATAAAATTTAATATTTATAACAAGTTACTAAACAAATTAATTTTAACAAAACTTACTCCCAAAATAACTTGATCTGACTTTCTAAAATTCTATATTTTATATTTAAAAGTATTTTTATGTAATATTTGTCATAGTGATTTGAATTTATTTTTTAAATTTACTTTTTATTAAATGTATTATATATTTTTAAATTTTTTATTATTTTAATATGAAATAAAATTATATTATTATTAATACTTTTTCAATAAAAATAGTTTATATAAAGTGATTATTCAAAAAGTATAAACAAACTTCATCTATAAATATATTATTTGTAATTAATATTTTGTAAGAACTTAAATTATCAAACAAACTATATTATATGATAAAACTTTTATGTAATATATTATAATATGATATATATTTAAAATTTTTAAACGTTCATAAATATTTGTCACTCGTGAGAGACTGACAATTATGTGGAAGAAGAGCGTAAAGTTTAGGCATAAAAAAATGTTATTTTCATTATTTATTAGTGTGAGGTGTAATACTTTAAATTTTTTATAAATATTATACTTAAAAAATTATATTAATTAAAAAATATAATAAATTATAAAAATATACTAATGTGAACTTATTTTCTAAATTCTTCATTTAAGATTTTTTTTCCTCTCATTCTTTTATATTATTTCATAAATAAAATTTTTAATTTTTTTAAAAAAATATTAATTTTCAAATAATAATATTTTAAAAAATTAAAAAATAAAAATATTAATTTTAAAATTATTTATATAATTAAATCTCCTTATCACTTTTCCTTTCCAATATTAAACATAATTTAACCTTCTTCTTTCCCTTTCCTTTCTTCTAACTCCAAATTTCCAAAAACAAAGCATGAAGACACTTCTTCATTTTATTTATTTCACCCCTTTCGTCGGTCGCTATCCTTTCTGGTGTCTATGTTCTGCCTTGCTTGATCATCCTATCAGTCATGGTAACAAAGACTTTCGAGAAGTGGAAAGAAAAAAGGGGGAAAAGTAAATATTGTGCGTATATGGCACGAAAAGGAAATCCGATTTCGCTGACACTCATTCTCTGGCTCCGGCTACCTACTGTGGTTTCCCTGAATTCCTCACCTCAGATCTCACTAAGAGAGTCGTCTTAGATTGAGAGAAGAAATCCTTCCCAACCTGAGATTCTTAATAGTAGGCTACATGCTTCTTGCCTGGTTCTGCGATCCATAGAAGAGAAGGGGATGGGATCTCTAATCGATGGATTAGTGTATGTTCCTTTCTTGTAGCTTATATCCTAAAAGTTTTCAAGAGTAGCACAAAATTTATTTTATATATTTTTGTATAGTACTATTTTACAGTACTTCTTTTATTAGATCACTTGTTCTTTTGTTTTTGTTTTTTTTTATCTCTTTCGTTGCTATACAATTTATTGTAAAAATATGAAGTAAGAATTTATTTTGAGTTTTTCTATTTAAATAATACAGTTTTAAAAGCTATTTCTGAAAATAAGGTTAATTAAAAATTATTTTTTTTAGTTTTTTCTTTTTCTCACATCTCTCAGTGTATTGGACCTTCGTGAGCATCAAATAATATCGCATATTTTAAATCGATCCTCATTCACTTAGCATGCATAGAAAGTATATCTTCTCCTGTAGACACACGATATTAATTTAAATATATTTAAATTTATAAATTTAAGATTATAAAATTTAAAAATATTTAAGATTTAAATTTAAAATATTTAAGATTATAAATTTTTTAAGATATTTAAAATTATGAGTATAATAATATTATCTTTAGTAATAATTAACACTAAAATTAAAATAAATATTTTACAGTTTCTAATAATAACTTTATAGAAATTTTTTAATTTTAACAACTCAGATAATTATAAATTTAATTTTATTTGTATGCATGTTATCTCAACTAAATTATTTTAACTAATTTTTTACTAAAAATTAATACTATAATTAAAATAAATTTTTATTATTCCAAATTTTATTTTAAAATTCATAATTTTATTTTTAATTTTATAACTCAATCAATTATAAATTTAATTTATATTTTTTTACTAAACTAATCACAACTTATTTTTTTTATTAACAGTTAATACTACAATTAAAATTAAATTCTTACAATTCTTAATTTTATTTTTTAAAATTCATAATCTTAAATATTTTTTTAAATTCTTAAAATTTTTAATTTAATATCACGTGTCAACATTTTACTTAGGAGATAATCGCATTTAAATCGATCTGAAACATGTGATACTGTTTTGAAAAAAATAAAAAAATAGTATTATTCATTACGCCTTTATTTTGGGATGGATCACTATTTCTGAACAAAAACACAATATACAACCTCGTTGAACTCGAGTCTTTACTAAAATGTAGTTGTGGCCACTAACTCTAACCTAGGATTGTCTAACCATGGTTATAAACTGTGAATTGGACCAAAATAGTTGGCCTAAAAGGAAAATATGCCCAGAAAATTGATAAAACATGAAGTAGTGTCTAAAAATCAAAAGGAGAAATTGAAGTTGAGAAGATATGGTTAACAGTTGTAAAACTAATCAATCAGTTCTGATACGAATTAAAATTAGCTTATGCTTGATAAGCCTACGTATATGACTTAATTTATTCCTAACATTTGCAGCCAATGAAACACAGAATTTAGATTAAAGCTTGAAGCTTATTACAAAGACTATCAATATAGAAAATATGGTTAGGAGTTGTAAAACTAATCAATCAATGCTGATACGAAATAAAATTAGCTTATGCTTGATAAGCCTACGTATATGACTCTTTTGAGTTAATTTATTCCTAACATTTGCAGCCAAAGAAACCCAGAATTTAGATTAAGGCTTGAAGCTTATTACAAAGACTATCAATATAGAAGGACTCTAAATTGTCGTCCAGTAACAAGTTCCTCACTTTTGCATGATTTGCTCTGACTTCTTGTCCAAGTTCATTACCATCATCCATCACACTCTTCACAGCTTTGCATACACTTTCTTTTGTGGACAAACCATCTTCTTCACCTTTCTCCACTTCCACCCCAACCTTCAACGATCTACTCAACAATCGTGCATTGAAGACATAATCAGAACCTAGGCGCGGTAAGAACACCAATTGACACTCACTTATAAGTGATTCTGTCAGAGAACCTGACCCGCAGTGTGTTATAAAGCACCCAACAGAAGGGTGCCCTAAAATCAATTGTTGCTGCACCCAACCATCATATACAACCCCTCTTCCTTGAACCCTTTCTTTGAACCCTTCTGGCAAAGCTTCTTCAATAGACTCAAATCCATTAGGAGGCTTAAGTGCTGCAAGAAATGGAAAACCAGTTAGTTCAAGACCAAGCAACAACTCATGAAACTGATTATGTTGCAAAGTGCTTTCACTTCCATATTCACAGAAAACAACAGAACCAGCCTTAAATCCCCCAAGCCATTCGATCCATTTTTCCTCTAAAGTAGAGTGTGGTGTCTCAGGTAAAAGAGGTCCTGAGAGAAAAACAGGCTTCTCAGATATATCCTCAAGATAATCCACATAAGGCCCTTCTATTTCCCTACAACCTTTGAACCCAATTGCATGTGAATTTTTTGCACCTATTGCAAAACGATGATGGAATAGAACACCACTTCCAAACTCCACTTTCCTAAAGGCAGCAAGGAATCGAGCTTCATGGGCATAAAGCTTGATGGAAGAATCAGGGAAACCCGAAGGTGGTTCAATGAGATCAAACTCTGTAAAGTCTCTTCCTTCGTTTTGTCTTTCATGTGATTGAAGGTAAGCGACAGTTACAGGACTAATTACTAAGTATTGGAAACACTTTATGCCTAAGCTTTGAGCCAAGTTTGGTAACCAAAATGAAAAATCAAAGAAAATAATTTGTGGCTTTATTTCCCTTAAGAGATGCTCCATGTGTTTCTCTGTTCGGTCCATGGCCGTGGCAAGAAGTGGAAACAAAGAAAAGGGTATGTCTGCAGTGGTGTCAGCATCATGAGGAAGGCCTTCAACGTGAGGAACTGTGATTGGAACAAAGGTTATAAGGTGTGGATGAAGGTTGAGATGTTGTATCTTGGTTTGTGCTCTTTTCGGTATGATGAAGGAGATTTTGTGCCCTCTCTTTGCCAACTTGTTGGAGAGGTGAAGAAATGGAGTGAAATGCCCCATGGCAAACCATGGATACATTGCTATGTGCAAAGGAGGGGCATCCATGGCGCAATGGGTGTTTGCGATGTTGAAAGGTTCTGGTAATCACTGCATTTAGGAGGCGAGAAATGCGGGAGTAGGTGAGAAAAAAATAATAAATTCCTTGAGTTGGTTGAAATGATAAAAAGTAATAATATTTTTATATTTTATATAAAGGCGTGAAGTAAATGCAGGTAATTTTATTATTATTATTTTCACTAATTCCAACAAACTACTAGTGGAATTACATCTGTTCTTTGATAAAGAAAGGGTAGGGTTCTTTGATAAATTTACAATAACACTAATTATTTTTTATTAATATATTTTTGTCTATATAACAATATTATGTATAATAAATAAAATGTTTATACTAGTTAACTAATTGAAATATAAAAAAAAACACATATTAACCAATAAAAGATTAAGAATATATATTTTATATTATTAACAAAATAAGTGAAGTATTTAATTTATATACTCTCTACTTTTTACATTTAACAATTCTATTATATTCATTTAATTATCATTTTAAAATTAATAAATAAATGTTTTTAAAATTTTGTGTTATTAACTATAATTATATTTTTAAAAATGTATTTTTTTTCAAAAAATATGTTTAAATTAAGGATATAAAAATTTTCAATGCGTGTATAATAACGTATTTAACCTTTTTTACAAATACAAACAAAAAATTTTCATAACCATTAATTGTCCAACAGATATATTATAACATTTCTATTTTAAGAAAACAATCTATCACCATGTGAATAGGATTAATGATTAGAATTTTTTAGATTTTATTAAAAAAATTATAAAATTTATAACTAATTTAATACAAGTTCAAACATCGTGAAATCATCAAAGTTTTCTTCCTTTAAATATTTATTATAATATAAAATTACAATCAAAATTGAAACATATTTAAAAAATTTATTAAGTCTCAATTCATCTCTACTGTTTTCATATTAATTTATTAAATAGTTAGTACATTAGAAAATTCATAATAAATTCATTTCTTGTTCAAAACATATTAGACTAATAAAGTTATTCTCCTTAATATGTCTATTTTATGTAAAAATACTTTCAAAATCAAACTATTTATAAACATCAATTCATGCTTTAATTCTTTAGTACATGTCACATAATAACATAATTTAAAAATAATACATTAAAAAAATTATAAACCATTCAAATCACTATCAAAATTCATAAGACCTGTGACATTATTTCACTTTGGATATCTAGTTTTTTTTTTAAATATAAGTAAAAATTTATTACATTTAAATTTCAGAATTAGTCCTAAACATCATATGTTACTTACAATAACTTACTTCTTAGAATTAGTTAAATAGAAAAATTATAAATATTTTATTTTAAATCTAAAATTCATAAAACTAGTAAAAAGAAATTTTTCTTATAATATTTATTTTCATGCCAAAATACTAATAAAATAACATGACTTATACCCTTTATAATGAAAATAGATTTCTCAATAACATGCACAAAAACGTTGTTATACAATAATATTTTGAGAAAATCATAAGTAATTCATTTTAACTCCAAATTAATCAAACTTAGTAATTATATTTTTCTTATGAAGTCTAATTTTATAAAAAAATAAAATCATACTTGAATTTTAAGATGAAAATAATTTAAAGTATGATGTTCTTAGAAAAATATTTACAGATAATAGAATATTAAAAAATTTATAACTATTTTATTTGAATTTCAAATCAAGTGAAACAAGTAAGCATAGTTCTATTAAAAAGTCTATTTTCATAAACAAATATCAATAAAATAATGCTATCAATTGATATTAAGAGAAAAATAAATCAAAGTACACTGCTTGCCTCGAGAATACTATTTTAATGCAACAAAAACTACAAAAAGCATAACTAATTCAATATAAATCACAGTAAAGTAAATTCAATGGAGAAATTCTTAAAATTTAACTATATTTATGAATAAAATAATAAACAATTATTTGTAAATATCTTCTCATATTTTACATTGTTTACACTTAAATCCTTATATTTTATATTAATTGTAAAAAGATCCTTGTCTCTAAATTTGGTAAGTCTTAAATTATTCAGTATGTCTCCCATGTGTTCAACGTCATTAATTCATGTCCAAATATGGTCCAAATTATTTTCATAGTCCTACCACACATGTGGTCAAGTGTCTTGCACTTTCAAGGTAGTTTTAGTCTAAGTCCATGATATTTTTTCCACTTTTAGGTTCAATCTTTGAAATTTATCTTTCAAAGTTTTCATCATATGTCCACGTAGTCCATGAGTTTTGGGGTCTTCATCAAAGTCAATTTTCATTTTTAATCCATTTCTTTTTTTAAAAAATTTTTATAAATCTTCAAAAATAGTTTAGAAAATCATTTTGACTCCAAAATAATTTCAATTCAAAAGAAAATCATGAATCCACCTTAGATAACATAGAAAAAAGTCACAAAATCATAGATTCACATGATACATGCAAGATTTTTATGCAACCTACGACATAACAAGTAAAGTTATCATCAAATACAATACACTTTATCGTTCTTAGTGATTTTCATATATTTACTTATTTCAATCAAACTTTTAATCATAGATTCATCAATAAATACAAATTTAACACAACCAAAAAGGTTTAAGGTTTCCCTTTGACTCAACTATTTAAATAAAGTATTCTCCTTAATTATGAAATGTACCTCCTACTTGGTATTTTTAGGTTGATCTTGGTTTGATCTTTAGATGATCCTTCTCCTCTTTCCTTTTTGCTCTTCTTCTTCTATTGTAAGTGATAATTGTATAAAATAAGTGATTTAAGATGGTGACTTGACCACTTTTCATGTTAAAAGTTAGATTATTTTGTTAAATTTCCTTTAAACTTGGAACTTTTATAAATACTTGTATATTTCTAGAAAAGAATGCAATTGTAGTGTTTTGATTCCTTTTTGATCTATTTTGTAGCTGGAATCAAATGAGAGACATCATTTAAAGTTGAATAAGATTGAAAAAAGTAAGAAAAAGAGCCGATAAAACATAAAGTTGCAGAAAAAGTGAGCTTCTAGAGGTTTCTTGCTGCAGCGAGGATGTGCCGCCGTAGCGAGAGTCCCTTGTGTCATTGTAGCGAGAAATGCCGCTGCAACAAGAAACAAACATAATGAACTAATTTTTATCTCTGTGTCTCGCTACAGCGAGGAGTTGCCGCTGTAGCGAGAGAAGTTTAAGCAGACCTGTGTAAAAGGTGACTTTTATGTTTAGAAGGAAGATTACTGTTTCATATAGATTTTCAGAGAGGGAGAGCGGCGCAAAGCAGAGGAAAAGAGTACGAATACTCATTTTTTATGTTCTACTCCGTTTGTATCTTTATTCTTGTTACTATGGTTGCTATGAGCAGTTAAATCTTGTATGAGATTGAATGTACATCTTCAAACTTGATGTATTCTCAGTAGTTTATATAAACATAATTGTTTCTTCTTCATTTCTATTGTTTTGGTTATTTCAATCCGTGTCAATGGTTGAATCTGTCTATTTGATGGTTTCTGGAGCTCAGATCTGAGTTATATATGAAAAATATTATTTAGATCTAGATTTGATTGAGATTACTCAATAACTAGTACTCTAAGAATAGATTTCAAGTTATTGATTGCTTTTAAATCCTGATTTTAATGCTGGATAATTTGTTAATTGTTTGATGAATCAGCATTTGAGGAATTATTTTATAACTGTATTTTCAAGGAATTGAAATATAGGACTTTCGTATTTTGCACTTCATGAGAGACAATCCAAACTAGAGTACCTTAGAAAAATTCATACAGATGTCAATGACCAATCAAAAGAATACTGAGGCATCCATAAAAAATTTAGAGACACAAGTTGGATAGTTGGCAAAACAGCTGTCAGAGCAGTAAACATCAGGACACTTCTCTGCCAACACATAAACCAACTTAAAAGAGCATTGCAAATTAATTACCACAAGAAATGGTAAGGAGATTGGAAGAGAGATTGGTGATCATTTGGCAAATGAAGAGGAGGTGAAGGAGAGAGAAGAGAATGAGAGAAAAGAGAGTCGAAAAGAAAAGAGTGGAAGTGAGGAAGGAGTTGAACAGAATAATGAGTGAAGTGTTAATAGTGAGAAAAAGAAAGAAAAAGAAAAAAATGAGAGTGATAAAAAGAAGGATAAAGTGAGCTCCCACAATTGAAAGACCTACTATATCCTAAGATTCCTTCTAAGAAAGATAAGGAGAGACAATTTGCTAGATTCATGGACATTTTTAAAAGATTGCAAATTAACATTCCTTTCATGGAGGCTATGGAGCAAATGCCAACTTATGTTAGATGCATGAAAGAATTGCTTACAAAGAAAAGAAGATTCTCATAGGAGACAGTTAAGTTAGAGGCAGGTTGTAGTTCAATAATTCAGAAATCTTTACCTCAGAAAACAAAGGATCCAAGTAGATTCACAATTCCAGTAACCATATGTGCATTACCTGTGGGAAAGACTTTGTTGGATTTGAGAGCAAGTATCAACCTGATGCCACTATCTATGCTGAAAAGGATTAAGGACATGGAGATCAAACCTACAACAATGACTTTGCAACTGACAGATAGATCTATGAACTTTTCTTATGGTGTAACAAAGGATGTCTTGGTGAAGGTAGATAAATTTGTATTTCTAGTTGATTTTGTAATCATGAATATGGAAGAAGATGTGGAAGTTCCTCTAATTTTGAGAAGGCCGTGCATAAAGACTGCTAAGGTGATTATTGATGTAGATGATGGCAAACTCACAGTGAGAGTCCGTGATGAAGAAGTTAATTTTAATATCTTTGAAGCTATGAATCATCCTAAAGATAAACAACAATGCTTTAGGATGAATATGATTGATGAACTTTGCATGATGGAAAAGATACAATTGCATAAGTTCAGTCCGTTGGAGAAAGCTTTAATTGAAACTTATCATGATTTAAATGAAGAAGAGGAAAAAGAGATTGAAGATTGTTTAAAGAATCTTGAATCCTCTAAAGAACTATCTCTACATGAAGCTTACCATGAAAACTTGCCTCAGGAAGAGAA